GAGCGCTGTGCCGTGTCCGGCACCGTGTCCCACGCTCGCTGCTGTCACCCGCCCTCTGCCACCCCCATGGCCTCGCCACGGCTCTGCCGCCGCTGCCACACCTCTGGGGCCGCTGTCACATCTCTGTCACCTGCATCACGCCTCTCGCCTCCACCGCCCCTCCATCGCACTTTATGGAATAGAGTCACAGACTGGTTTGGGTTGGAAGGGACCTTAAAGATCATCTAGTTCCAATCCCCCTGCCAGCAGCAGGGACACCTTCCACTAGACCAGGTTGCTCAAAGCCTCATCCAGCCTGGCCTGGAACACTTCCAGGGAGGAGCAGCCACAGCTTCTCTGGGCAACCTGGGACAGTGTCTCACCACCCTCACAGCCAAGAATTTCTTCCTCACATCTCATCTCAATCTCCCCTCTGCCAGTTTAATGCCATCACCCATCACTTCCATCACCTCCACCACCCCTCCATCCCCTCTATCTCCCTTCCATCATACCTGCATCCCCTCTGTGACCTCCATCACACATCCACCACCTCCATCACCCCTCCACCACCCCTCCATCACCTCCACCACCCCTCCATTGCCCCTCTATCAGCTTTATCACACCTCTATCGCCTCCCTCCAACACACAGGCACATTCACCTCCCGCTTTCTCCTTGGCTCCATTAAAACCAGTTTCTCCCTGCTCCGAAGTTGGAGGCTGTTTTGCTCGTTACATGGAGGAAGGAGCAGGTGGGGTGCTGGATCCGTGTGCCAGCTGACCTTCCCAAGCTCAACAGCGAGCTGTGCCGGGGATGCTAATTAAAAACAAAATAATTACAATAGCGCTTGGTAACAAGAATACGAAGGTAAGCGAGGTCATGGCACAAGACACTAAATTAAAAATAACTCCATGGTACAGCGGGTGGCAGTTTATGGCTCGCCATTAAAAAAGCCATGGAATTGTTCATCCGTCCTTTATGTCTTAGGGATGGATGGAGTCAAATATTAACCTTTCTGCACTTATTTTGATTTTATCCCTGTGTGAGGTGAGAGCAGCTCACGCTACAGAGCATTGCAGGGCAAGACTTTGGGGAGGAGCACAATTTTCAGCAGAAAAATGAATTTTCCCAAGATTCCTGACATTAGACCATCATTTGAGGGCTCAGCTAAATATTTGTGCCCCGTGAAATTGTGCCTGTGGGACAAGAGTGGTTTCCTACCCCACCAAGCTGGAAACCCCAGTGGGCTGGTCCCTGCAGGGATGCCACTTCGATTTTCCTTATTATTTGAATGTCAATTTTTGGTTGATTGCCCTTTTTAAAATTTCATTTTTTTAAGGGAAGTTTATGGAAAGCCTAAGAAATAATCATGCCCCAAGATGGGGAAGCATGGTGTAGGTGATGGCCCGAAGCATCCCTCCATGGATCACCTCTTTGAGGGTTGGGGAAATGCTATGGATTCCTTTTTTTTTTTTTTTTTTTTCAGGCATAGAAGAGCCATTCCTGATTTTTTAGTGAAGTCCTGAACTGAGCCAGAGCTCAGCATCACCTCTCCACAAATCCCAGCTGAGGCTTTAGCTTCTCTATATACACAGGGAATAAAAACTCCTTGTAATGTCACTAGTGTCACAATTCCCATAGGAAAGGAACAAACAGCTCATATCTCCATAGGAAAAATCCAGATACAATATATCCAAGTCAGTTTTTTAAGGAAATAGAGAGATGTGTTTGGGGTTTGTTTTTTTTTAAAATATATCTTTTTTTTCTTTTTTCCCCAAAGTCTTTTCCCAGTGGAATAAAACCAGCAAGAACCAAGCAAGACACTCAAGAAACTTTCATAGAAGTATTTATTAGGTTACAAATACCGTGCAGTTTATATCCAGCATACGGATTCATTCCACACAGGCACAAACAAGCAGGAATCGCTGCTCTGTTTGTCGTGAGAATTCACTTTCACGCTGGTTAAAGCTGACTGCAACGTAAGGCACTGCAGCTCCCGCAGCCCTCAAGCCCTTGCTCCTTTTATTAAATTGGATATAGAAATCTTGCCAAAAAAGAACTAAAAAAAGCAGCAAATACATAGTTTGAAAGCCAGAAGCATCCTACTGTGCCTTTTACTGCTTCTTGTCCCTTATTCTCAATTCTTTGATAGTTTCCAGGAGGCTTCTTGCTAGGAATTTAGCTAATATCTCAGTTTATGGATTTTTTTTAATTTTTTTTTTTTTTTTTTTTTTTGAGCAGGTTGTCACCAAGGATGGGTAGAAACGCTCGGGATTCATTTTCTGACTTTATAATCAGGGAATTTACCTGTGTGAGGGTGCACCCAGACCAAGTCCCACTCAAGATGGTATAGGTCTGTCTTCTGCATCACCTCAGGAACCTTTCAGGAGGTGGCTGGAGCAGTGGGGAGAGCCCATTGCCATCAGCACAAGGAGCCGTAGACTTTGCAAACAGCTCAGCCAATACTTCCACCCCATGGGAAGAGGCTGGCCAGGTTTCTTGGGGAGGAACCTGCAGATTTATTCTGATTTGGTGGTTGAAGGGAGTTCCCCATGGTGGGTTCAGTTCTGCCCATGATGGGTCAGGTTCTGCCCATGGTGGCTCTGGCTCTGCCCACAGCACTGGGCAGGGTAAGGACACCTCCTACCAACATCTTGCACGGCTTCTCCCAACCCAAAGCATCCCCACCACAGGGCTGCAGTCCCCCTGGACCTCCTCAAGTGGGATGAGCAGGCTGGACCTCCGATGAGGTTTTCTGTAGGTGATGGAGCTGGCCATGGGGGCTGCAAGAAGCCCAAAGCCAGCTTTATCCCTCCCCGCTCACACTTACATGAGATGAACAAGCCTCCAGTGATACAACATAGGTGAGGGGCCGTGCTGGCTTCTAGAGAGCGTTAGCAAAAGCAGGCTGAGTGTCCGATGCTGAGGGCTGGCTTTCTTCTGCAAAGCGATCCTTCCTCCCACAGCTTATGGAGAATTCTTCATGGGGGAACGCTTCTTAATCTGGAAACACTCGCATTTCTTGTATTTCATTGTCAGTCCATACTGAGGAGTGATGTCCACCTCCGCCCCAGGGCAGAGGCTGAACTCCAGCTGCTGCAGTATGGTGGCCAAGAAAAGGAAGACCTCCCACCGGCCGATGGTCTCCCCGATGCATCGCCTCTTCCCCAAGCCAAAAGTCATCACTTTGTCACTCTCCGTTCTGCTTATTTCGGTCCCTGCAGCATTGAGGAATCGCTCAGGGTTGAAAGTTGAGGGATCCTTCCAAAGCTTCCTGGAGCAGAAAGGAGAGACACCTGAGGAAGCCACTTTCACCCATTGTGATGGGGACAATGGTCAAAAAACTCCTCATGGAAGAGCAGCATTGCAATGATTTCTTATTTCACGGTCCAAAAAACTTTGGCAACCTGTATCCCTGATCTCAACTGCCAACTGCACGTCAGACTCCATCAGCTCACTCTACTGCAACTTCTATTTCAAACCCAGATTGTGTTTGCCTGGGCAGATACGGGGTGTGGATTTAATTCAGCATGCAATAGCTAAAAGCCCTGCAGTTTGAGCCAAAAGGAGAGCATAGAAGTTGGTCAGCACTTCTTAAAAAAGAAGGATGGAGACCCGAGAGTTTTCCCCACTTTGAACCCTCCCAGCCTGGCTGCTGGGAGGTGCCAGGTGGGATTTTCCAGTGCCTTAGAGGGAACCCTCTCTGATCCTAAGGACAATGTTCCCATAGTGATGCTCACCAGCATACGCAGGAGCAGAAGGAATATTGAAATATTTCTGTGCTCCTGGGCTATTGGGATACAAAGATCTTGAGCTTCTGATCCAAAATACCTGATCTGGGAACCACCTTCTGTATCGAGCCTTAGGCAACTTACTCGCCCCAGGAGGTTCTCTGCTGGAGAGCAGAGGAGGAGTAAGATGGGGCTTTGGTTTCCAGATCCCCTTTCCTTCACCAAAGCTGATTATCAGCAATAACAGCACGAGCCTATTGAGTTTAACAAGAGTCATGTCAGGACATTTTTCTTCTTGAAAGAGGGAACCAGACAGTTCCCATTAAGCACATCCAGAGCTGTTAACCCGGATCACAAGGGCTGCTTGGCAGGAGGATCTACCGATTCCTGATTATTCAGCAGCCCAAGCTGCCAGCTCTCACATGGATATGGAAAGTCTGGTGCATTGAGGACATCACCATGTTACAGCACATAAATTGGGTGAGCCCTGGTGTTGGGGATTTGCTGAACCAGTGACTAAGTCAACCCAGAGCAGCTCCATGCCCAAGAGCACCAAGGCTGGGCTTGGCATCAAACCTACATGATTTTTGGTACCAATCTGCCTTTTCCTGCCTTCACAACCCATTTGGCTTTTGGGATGTTGCTCTAAAGGATCAGAGCAACTTTAATGCCAAGCAAACCCATGGCAGCCTGGATGAGCACGGAGGATTTGGTGTACTCACTCATCGTGATTCACTTGCCACTGGTTGATAAACACGCAGGTGTCCTTGGGGATGTAATAGCCGTTCAACACCGTCGCTTTCGTCGTACTGAAAGAAATACCGACGGAGAGGAGAAGTGAAGATGAGACTCACAGCTTCGCAGTGAGACAAAGCTTGCCAAGTCCTAGGGGTGTTTCATTTTTAACACTCTATTTGTACTCTTAGAACTGGCTGGGAAATATTCTGTATTGGGGCGAGTAAATTGTCTTGGTTAACATTTTTCCTCAAGCAGAAAGATTCCAGTTGCGGGAAGTTGAATGAGTTGTGATGTGGTTTCTCCTAAGGTAGGAAGAAATATAAACCCAGAGGTGTTCACCATCCCTCTACTAGCAAAGGCTTTGGAGTGAAAATGCCCTTAAAGGGAAGGATCTGACCCTGGGAAGGCAGCAAGCTGGACAGCTGCCGGCCCCAAGGGCAATGGATGCAGCCCCAGGCACCAACACAACATGGGAGCTGTGTGAAAACCATAGGGAGATCTAACATGAGTCATTCCGGCTGTGCACTGGAATATTTCCCCATAGCAGGGATCCATTCTCAGGTGATTATTAGCATCTCCCAGAAAACCACTCCAAAAAAATCCCCTGAATAATATGTCAGCCACTCCATACCTGTGCGGGATGGTGAAGGGCATGAAGGAGGAGTGCCTGAACATCTCCAGGATAAAGGCTTCTGTGTAAGGCAGCATGCTCCGGTCTGACAGTCTTGGTCTTCTCTCCCAGCCGATGGTCTGATCTGCAGGAGGTCAAGAGGATGGAGAGGGATGGGAGCAGCCCTCACCAGAGAGGTTTCGGCCCTGGAGGAAGCAGGTTCATGGACTCACCTAGTTCTTCCTGAATCTTCTTCTGGATGTCGGGGTACAAGGCAACATACATGAGGCTCCAGGATAAGGCAGTTGCCACAGTGTCAAAGCCTGGGTGGACATGAAAAAGGCATGTAGTTACCAAATGAGGACAGGCAAGTGGGCATTTACAAGACCCTGTCACTCTAGATATTACCCATGAAGCAGTTCCCCCATCAGCTATCACTGAAAAGCCATCTGCTCTGGAGAGCACCCAAGAGCCCAGCAGTAGCTCCAAACATCCATCATGGCCAGGGTCTCACCCGACAGCAACGGCTCCTCCACCCAGCCTCCCAGCAGCGAGGTTTCACCCTCAGAAACATTCTCACCTGCCCCAAAGAGGTCATTGACAATGTTGATGATCTTCTCATTGGAGAGTGGGACTCGGGCATCCTCTTCTATGTTCTTCTCCTGGCAGTGCTCAATCAGCGAGTCCGTGATGTCCCTGATGTGCTCCTGGGGAACACAGGTGGGTCAGGGACATCGGGGACACCCAGGACTGGGGAAACCTCCCCCTAGCCAGCACCTGCTCCTGGGGGAATTAACTGCAGATTGGAGAGCCCCAAAGGAGCTTTCCTGGGCAGAGGTGAAGGGACGAGGGAGCACCCTCTTCCCCCCATTGCCAGGCAGGCATCTCTGACAATTGTAGTCATCTACCCACATCCAAGAGCATCCAAGCTCTTACCTTATCAAAGCTGGTATAATGCTCCTTGACAATTTTTTGCACAAAGAGGCTGAAACGCCTGTTGATGTCCTTGAAAAGCTGCATGGTGCGGCTGGGAAGATACTGAAGCATGGGGATGAAGTCAGCAGGGTTGCCAGAAGCAGCTGCATCCCCAAATTCATTGCTGAGGTTCACCACGCTGAGCAGCTCTTGGTCATTGTGGTCATAGCGCTTGCCAAAGCAGATGGCACAGATGA